CTGTTGCTTCCTTTTCCATTAGCGTCGAGTGTCTGATTAAACCGTCTTCATTTCCACTGTGTGGGCCTCACTGCCCCCCACCCCCCCTCACGACATCATTTCAGTACATCGCCTTTGATTTATACAAGAAACGAGTCATGTTTCCACATGTTATTAGCAGCATTAACTCGTTGATTGCCAAAGACGTCTATACAGGACTGTCTCAGAAAATTAGAATATGGTGATAAAGTTCTTTATTTTCTGTAATGCAAGTAAAAATCATGAAATTTCATACATTCTGGATTCATTACAAATCAACTGAAATATCGCAAGCCTTTTATTGTTTTAATATAGCTGATTATGGCGTACAGCTGAAGAAAAACTCAAAAATCCGATATTCTAATATTTTGAGATAGGATATTTGGGTTTCTTAAGCTGTAAGCCACAATCAGCTTAAATTTTTTTTTTTTTAATTTTTGTCATTTAAAACCATTTCTAGATGTTGTTTTTGCCGTTTTATAGAAGGATACAACTTTTAAGATGTTTGAGGTGTCACTAAAGCCAAAAAAATAGCATCAAAGACACTTCTCTGCTTGAACTGTATCTTTTCACAAAAAGCTCGTTTTCTCCATTTATTGGTCAAAAACTGGTGTTTTTGTTGAAACCAACCTATGTTCTACTGCTGATTACTAAAGAGCGGAATAAGGTAAAAACAAAAGAATTTTTCCTGATGAAAGAAAAGAGTCTACTCTTTCTTTTGGTGTGTTCGGTGTTTACATAGTCATAGCACAAACTATTCTGTGGCTCTTGAAAAATCAGTCAAAATGCTCAAAAAAAAACTCTGGCGGTATGGGACTCTGTTCTGAAAATGGCTGCCAGTCAATGAGTTAGATAAAGAATCCGCTCTATCCGGATTCAGATCCAAACCCCCTGCAGCTTATTCAGTATGTGCAGAATGTGTTCGGAGTTTTTTTCGTGTGTGAGTTTGCTGCGGATTGTTTAGTCTGTATTCGACATGACTAATGAACTTTCAAAGCGTGGTGTTTTATGTCTGTGTCAGGTTTTCCTGATCTGTAAACGAGGTTCACCGGGGCATCTAAAGCTGTTTACACGCATGTAAATCAGGAAAATAAGATAACTGTATTCCGGGCTCTCGACAGGCACAAGCGGACGTCTCTTTTCATGGATGTTTGAATTCAAAAACCCATCTGATGAGCTCAAGGGGAATCTGTGATGGTGGACTTCATAGAGGTTATTCATCTGTCGTATCCTATTTCCATATTCCACATTTTCTCTGATGATTTATCATCATATTTGATCAAACTCTTAATGAAGTGTCCTCTGGATGTCCGGCATTTCCCACGTCTCCAAAACTTCTACATGTGTCTTTTCTGATTTCGTCTAATTAAATTCTCCGAACTTCTTCCCAACCATCATCGCATTATAGATTTGGAGTCCAATATTAAAGCTGTAATTATATTAGTTATTTTCCAAGCTTACAGTTAACTGAACATGGCACCAAAAACACTTACATATTCCTGCTTTTTTTTGGTGCATTTTCCCTCCTAAACAGCAGATTTCTCTGAAGAAATTCCCAGTTTTCCTTCTCTTGTTTCCGTGCATATGTTCAACTTTAGGGCTTTTTTAAAAATATCGTCCTATTGCTTTTGGTGGGTTGTAGCGACCATCTTCCCCATTTTTACTAATTTACTAATCTTACTAATGAGCTAAAAACAATGTAAATGCATTTTAAAAAAAAGCTTTTCACTCATAGAAACAAAAGACTGGCCTAAGCGGAGGTTTTGTTTAGTGTCTGGTTTCTGTTTTTTTGGTCACCAGTGTCTTTTTTTTTGTCACTTTTCACTTTTATAGGGTTTTGGTTTTAGTTCTAGCTGCAGTTTTTGTGGCAACCTACACAAATGCAGCACCCAGGTGCACAAACACCTGCACTATGTGCTGCAGCCGGATGTTTGGGAGGTGGAGAAAGGCCACTTTAGCTCCGAGGATAAGACCGTGAATGGGTACTGAGACCTGCAAATTGCTGTTAGCTTACCCACACGTCCCGCCTTCTGACGGGGTAAATGAGGATGAATGCTCCTGGCCTGTGGTCACCTGTCCAGAGCACCTGTGTGTCCACAGACAGCTGCAGAGCTCCCTCACCGGCCCGGGGACCGGTCGCCCAAATAAAGGCTGCCGTTTCCCCTAGTGATGAATATATGCCGTCCATTTCAACACAGAATATATATATATATATATATATATATATATATATATGGAGGAATCCCGCCTGCTTCGGTCAACTTCAAGTTAACAACAGTTCCCATTAGGTTGTAGAGTCCAGCTAATGCTACTGACATATATATATATATATATATATATATATATATATATAT